ATCCCCAGCCCCCTTTTTTTTTTTTAATCACCAACTGTTCTTCTCTTTCTTGTCCTTTTCCTCTCTCCCAGTTATGTTTGAATCTATTGGACTATATGTTTAATTCCTTAGCTCATGAGCTCTACCTTGTACTGAAACCCGTAGTCCTTAAAGGAGTTGTCTCATTCTTCCCAACTAACTCTTGACCAGATCCAAGTCTATCCAGTCTCATGCCAATGGAGGTAGTTCCCCTGACTCACCTTTCTCTTCCTTGTTCCTATTAATAGAGTGCTCCTGATTGTGACATCTGATTGTGACATTACATTCATCCGTTGGTGATGGAGTTTGTCACTAGGAAGGAAGACTCAATTGGAGAATAGCCAACAAGATGGGTTACTTGGAGCATCTCCTGAGTGGTACTGAGTGGAGGCATCAGGGGGTTGGAGCCTTGTGAACAGGGAACCTGCCCCCCAACACTTGAAAGGTAAGGAGCCTTGATTTGAAATCCCATTCTAGGCTTCACCTCTTTTCTCTGCCAGTTGGGGTTCCTATTGCTCTTAAAAGCCTGATTCCTAGCTGGGTGCAGTGGCACACACCAGTGACTTGGCGGCTGAGGCAGGAGGATCATGAGTTCAAAGCCAGCCTCAGGGAAAGCAGGTCACTCAGTGAGACCCTGTCTCTAAATAAAACACAAAATAGGAAGATAGGGTTGGGGATGTGGCTCAGTGCTTGGGTGCCCCTGAGTTCAGTATCTGGTACCCCTCCTAAACAACAACAACAACAAAACAAACCTGATTTCTTAAAACTTCTTTCTATAGAACACTTTCTGTGATTTTTTTTTTTTTTTAAGTATTGGGATTGAACCAAGGGGTGCTTTACCACTGATCTTCATCCCTAGACCTTTTTATTTTTTATTTTGAGACAGGGTCTCACTAAGTTGTTAGGGCCTTGTTAAGTTGTTGAGGCTGTCCTCAAACTTGCAGTTCTCTTACATTAGCCTCCCAAGTTGCTGGAATTAACAGCATGAACCACTACTGTCATATTTCCTTGATTAGCCCACACCATCTTGTTTTTTTTTTTTTTTTACATATATATATCTCATGTTATACATCATGTTTTAACAACTCAGTGAGACATATATATATATAAAATAGAGCTGGGGATGTGGCTCAGTGGTCAAGTGACCTGAATTCAATCCTCAGTACCCCCCCAAAAAAAGTGTAAGAAGGGGTATGATAAATCTCTTGCATATGATAAATCATTGCAAGAACAGTGGTGACCAAGAATGGAGAAATTCTGGTGTAATGCAGAGGAAGTAAGTAACATAGTCTGGTTTGATTCTAGCTTGCAAGATAGGAGACTCAGAATGCAGTTTTCTTTTTTTTTTTTAAAGAGAGAGAGAGAGAGAGAATATTTTATTTTAATATTTATTTTTTAGTTTTTGGCGGACACAACATCTTTGTTTGTATGTGGTGCTGAGGATCGAACCCGGGGAGCACGCTACTGCTTGAACCACATCCCCAGCCCCTAGAATGCAGTTTTCAATTTGGATTAAGATGTTTATTTATTTATTTATTTATTTTAAAGAGAGAGTGAGAGAGGAGAGAGAGAGAGAATTTTTAATATTTTTTTTTTAGTTCTCGGCGGACACAACATCTTTGTTGGTATGTGGTGCTGAGGATCGAACCCAGGCCACACGCATGGCAGGTGAGCGCGCTACCGCTTGAGCCACATCCCCAGCCCCGGATTAAGATGTTTAAATCAGCGACTGGCAAACTTTTATAAGCCTGAAAGAGATACCTCGGTGCTACTTCAAGTCACCTACCTGGTTTGAGTGAACTCTTCCAAGACTTTTTTTTTGGAGGAGGGGGGACTAGGAATTTAACCCAGGGATGCTTGACCACTGAGCTAAGTCCCCAGCCCTTCCTTTTTATCTTTTTATTTTGAGACAGGGTCTCATGAAGTTTCTTAAGAGCCTTGCTAAATTTCTGAACCTTCAATCTCATGCTTTAGACTCCCAAGGAGCTGAGATTACAGGTGTGTACCACTGTGCCCTGCTAGTTGTGACTCTTGAGGTTCTTGTGGTTGCCATTTTACTAGGCCTTTTGCTCCAGGGTGATAAGCAGCTGAGTTTTTCTGAGGCTTCCCTATTGGAATAATAACTGGACTGGCCTCTGGGCCAGCCAGTAGCTGTGTTGGAAGTTTCAGAGATTTGAAGGAATAGTCAAATGAGCCTAACCTATCAGATTTACACTGTGCCTAGGGACAGGACAAAGCCAAATCAGAGAACTGACTTTCAAGATTGTGTATACCCATATCAACATTTGTTTCTCATAGGTGAGGAATAGGGAATACCCTAACCAGATTAGAAATGTGAATTTCCCATTAATTCTCTTTTTTTCTTTTTAAAATTTTAGGCATCATCTATTGACTTTTTAAATACACCTTTATTTATTTATTTACTTATTTATTTTATATGTGATGTTGAGGATCAAACCCAGTGCTTCACACATACTGGGCAAGCACACAAGCACTCTACCACTG